TTGCTTGCTAAATATATAAAGAAGTCCAGTGTAGTAGAACCACTTTGATCTTTATAAAAACTGTTATTTATATAGTAACCTCTACTACTTTCTTCAATAAGTTTTCTGTTTTTGTTGGTGTAAAATTCAGTACAAGTGATCATCAGGAAGAGTTGTGATTATTGATAAATAATTATTTCAAATTATTTTCTAGTTTAAAAGAAACCTTTGTATTATAATTTTTTAAAAACTGTAGTTTAAATTAAATTAAACTAGATAAATTTATATTTAATATTTTTTTAAACTTTACTAAATAAAATTAAATAATTTTATTATTATTAAAATTGTAATATTATATAAATTTAATAAAAAAATCAGCAAAATTTAATTAATAAAATTTTTAATAATTAATCTTAAATATTTATTACTTATAAAAAATATATTAAAAATTATTATTTTATTTCTGTACTGCATTACACAACTTTGTACAACCTTAATTATCTCAAAAAAATACTGTATAGAATTTTATAAATTTTTTTTTTATATTTATTATATAATTTTTAGTCTAATATCTTACTTATAAATTTTTAAAAAGTGTTCACAATAAACTGGTAGGTAGCTGTACTAATAACACAATGTTTAAATTTTAAGTTATGTGAAATGTTAGGATTTTTTTAATACATTTAAGTATTCATTGTAACAATTTATATCCATTAAACAATGCTTATATTTTATTTAACTAATGTAGGTTTCTAATATTTCATTTAAAAGATTTATGTACAAGAAAAGTAAATACTGTATCTGTGTTTATTTTTGTTAAAGGAAAAAATAAAAAGCTGAAAAAGTAAATTTTTATTTTCTTTTTTTTAAAGATATTTTATATGTAATTGGCATCTATTTTATTTTAATCAATTAAATCTGATTATTTTAATTAATACATAATTATTAAGTAACAATCAATCTGATATTTGCGTCAGTTCTGAATTGACATAAATCTATAAATGACACTAACATATATATAAAATAATTGTTGTAAGTATGAACGGAATTTAAATGAATTTGGGAATTTTCTAGTTAAATTAGGGTTAGGGTAAGGGTGTTCATATGATAAAATCAACCCCACTTAAATTCCGTTTCCACTTACAACAGATATAAATTTATTTCGACCTGAGATTTTGTCTCCTCCCCTCTACCCTACGATTTCAGCGGATATTTGACACTTTTATTATTATATTGTTATAACGTATTTTAAACTAACTATATAGTATTTGTATGTAATTTCTGCATTATATTCATTATATTTCCTAATTTATTAAAATTTTTATTCTAGAATTTTTAAGGTACGGAAAAAAAGCCCGATCGATTTCGAAATTTTTGAAGGCTGTAAAAATAGTGTTCCATAATTTGTGCCCAACCCAAAATTAGTATATATAATTAGTATTATAAACACACTTTCCAGGAAACGGGCTCCATTTGTATCTCCCACACATACGTTGCCATAACAATTCTTCAAAGTTGAACGGATCAAGCCCGGCCGACCCGTTGGACCCGTTCAATTTTGAAGACTTGTTATTAGCAGCAGGCGTGTGGGAGATACAATGGAGCCCGTTTCTTGAAAGTGTGTTCATCATATTAATTACTAATTTCGGGTTTGGCACCAATTATGAAACACTATTTTTACAGCCTTCAAAAATTCCGAAATCGATCGTTCTTTTTTTTCCCTCACCCCAGTAATAATCCAAATTCATATACATAATTTGTTACACAATATATTCATTATGTACGTACATACCTAGACCTTCATAAATAAAAATACGTATATGGGACATATCAATGCTGGTCGTTTCTCTAATAAGATGAGATTCCGAAAATTTGGTTTAATGAATGTCAAAAATGACAAGTTATATGCATTTATTTTTAGTAATTTAATAAACAATTATTAAAAAAAAATTGATAAAAAAAAAAAGTATTACTATTATTATTTATTATTTATTAATACTATTATATTCGGGGTTTTCCTACAAAAGAGTTGTTAAAAAGAGTTGTACAACACGTATGATACACGCATAAATAAACGGAAAATAGAAAATTTTTATTATTTTATTATTTTATATCTAAATGTATAACAACGAATTATTAATTTGTGTACAACATCAAAACCAATTTTTAATTCACCATGCGTATCGCGTATCATCCGTATGAACTTTAAAAATCTGTATTTTGCTAATCTTAATCAAATTGTGTTTTTGTTATGCTTGTAATATATATTTTATTTCCACAAGTGTAAATCTAAACATTTATATGTGAATGCACATGCAATCGGTCGTAAAGAATGCCTGCTAAATTATTTATTATTATAATAAAGTAATAATATTATTGGTTAAATTCCCAAGATATGCTTGATTTTAAATATTAATTTTATCAATTTATAGTGACAATATTTATTTTAGATCCTCAATATATTTCGTAGGTGAAAATATAGGATCGATTTTCTAAACCTGGTTAATGCCATGTATACTTTTATAATATTGTAATACTGTAGTATTATTTCCTATAGGTTACTGAAGATCGACTCAATGAATGTTAATAGAGAAGATTGACCTTTGATACATGGAAGTGAAGTCGCTTCACGATTGACTTGGATGTATCACAATTGACTTGGTCTATGGAAGCTGCTTAACAATTAACACTAGTGCATGAACATTGATGTATACGATTGACCTTGACGTATTGATCTTGACGTATTGACATTGACGTACTGACATTGACGTACTGACATTGACGTACTGACCTCGATGTGCTGACCTTGATGTGCTGACCTTGACATAGTGGCCTTGGTGTAGTGGCCTTGGTATAGTGGCCTTGATGTAGTGGCCTTGATGTAGTGGCCTTGATGTAGTGGCCTTGATGTAGTGGCCTTGGTGTTGTGGCCTTGATGTAATGGTCTTGGTATAGTGGCCTTGATGTAGTGGCCTTGATGTAGTGGCCTTGATGTAGTGGCCTTGATGTAGTTAGTGGCCTTGATGTAGTGGCCTTGATGTAGTGGCCTTGATGTAGTGGCCTTGGTGTTGTGGCCTTGGTGTTGTGGCCTTGGTGTTGTGGCCTTGATGTAATGGTAGTGACCTTGATGCAGTGGCCGTGATGTAGTGATCTTGAAGTAGTGGCCTTGAAGTAGTGACCTTGATGTAGTGGCCTTGATGTAGTGACCTTGACGTAGTGGCCTTGATGTAGTGGCCTTGATGTAGTGACCTTGATATGGTGACCTTGACGTACTGACTTTGATGATGTATAGAAGCTGTCTTAGATTTTTAGATAAAAATAAAACGAAAACATTAATATATAATCTATTAGATGCATATTATTTTGGAACGTCTGCATCATTTCTCTCCTGTATAGATATTTGTTAAAAAAAAATTTTTTATCTTTTTTTTAAACAAATTAATAAATTAAATAAACACTATTTATCGTTATTTGTTTTGTATAATTTTTAATCAAATTTTTTTAAAAAATATTTGTTATTATTTATGGGAATCCCTTGAATTCGAGATTTTTTTTTTTTTACAATTAATTCAAAAAATTATATAAAAATAGTATAAATAAAATGGTTATTTTTTATTGAATTAATGAGTTATAATTATTATCGTTATTGACCAAGCGACCGATTTATGCGATATTGATATTCTTTGATAAATTAAGAAATTCATTATTTTTAATTCACATGCTTAATTATTTCTAATATGGATTGTGGCTACATTTCGGCTTCTCCGAGTAATACCATCTTGATAAACCTGTTTTTTTTCTGAATTTATTTATAATCATTATAAATCTTAAAAAAAATATTTGTTTTTTTTTTTACTGGTGCTTAAGTAAGTACGTACATGAACGTACGTACGGAAATATATATATTGATATACTATATTGATATACCTACGTGCATAAGTACAGTAAGTTAGGTGTCCATTATTATGATCAAAAAATTTTAAAGTGGGATCTATATATCTATATATAACGTAATATAATCACCAATGATAAGCATGACGGACACTCCGCGTATTGCAAAAATTGATGCTGTATTGGTTGACGCGCCACAATATCACCTGCAGTGATCGTCGAAGCCCCCTTAAATAACGCAATAACGCCGGCTTTTTTATAAATTTTCTTTTTTTGTGTGACAAAATTATTCATAAATATGCCACATCCTTTTCGTTAAAAAAAACCTTTTGTAAAACAAACAGGAATAAATCAAATAAATCAATATACATATATAAGTATATATATATATATATTGTATACATTTTTTTGAAATGTTTAGAAAAGAAACATTTCTTTTATACAATATTGATTCTGATGAATCAAGTAATAGTTCTAATAGTTCAGATGGTGAAGATATATGCTACGAAAATAACTACGAGAATAACTGCGAAAATAACTACGAAAATAACTACGGAAAAAACCTTACAAGAACAAAAGATGAAAGAAAAACTTTTAAACGTTACCTAAAATCTGCTAATGCTGGAAATACAGATAGTCAAAATAATCTTGGTTGGTGTTATGAAAATGGTATAGGTGTTGCCGAAGATAAAAAGAAAGCTTTTGAATGGTATCTAAAATCTGCTTTAGGTGGAAATTCCTGTGGTCAAGCTAATATTGGCAGATATTATGAAAAGGGTATATATGTTGCTAAAGATGTAACGAAAGCATTCGAATGGTACTTAAAATCGGCCGAAAATGGAAATTCTAATAGACAATGTAGTATTGGTTATTATTATGAAAAGGGCATATATGTTGCTAAAGATGAAAAGAAAGCTTTTGAATGGTATTTAAAATCTGTTGAAAATGGTAACGTGTTGGGCCAAAATAATCTTGGTTGGTGCTACGAAAATGGAATAGGCATTGATAAAGATTTAAAGAAAGCTTTTGAATGGTATTTAAAGTCTGCTGAAGGTGGTAATTCTGTCGGACAATGTAATCTTGGCTATTATTATGAAAAAGGTATACATGTTACTAAAGATGAAAAAAAAGCATTTGAGTGGTATATGAAATCAGCCGAAGGTGGTAATCCGAAAGGGAAATGTAACCTTGGACGATGTTATAAAAAGGGTATAGGCACTATAATTGATGAAGAAAAAGCTTTCCATTGGTTTTCGAAATCAATAGATGATAATTCCACATAATAACTCTATATTTTAGATTTTTGTTTTTTTTTCTTTTTCTTTTTTTAAAAAAAATAGACAAATATTCGCTTCACATATATGTAAATGAAATAAAATTTAAATCCCTCTTGTACATTTTTTTTTGCTAAATTAATTTATCAGATCCTTACTTTACAAAGCACTGCAAATGCTTTGGTGAATAAATAACATTGTAACATATAAATTGATCATATAAAATTGATAAAGCCTGACACTACGTTATACGACATTCGATGCAACTATCAATAACATGGTTAAACAATGCGGTACCATAATTTCATTTAACATGCATTTACACGTTTTCTTAAGATTGAATTTCAAACTTGTGAATTAGCAACTTTAAAGTAATTATAGTTACTTGGTAGTAGTAAATTACTTATCATTATTATATGTTAGCAATACGTTTACTACTTTTAAAGTTACTATATAATTATTTATTATTACTATCGCTATACATTTACTACGTATATATTTAATATTACTATACATTTACTATACATACTATACTATGCCGGGTACTTCATAAGTCCCTATACACTTGTACATGAAACCCTTTTTTTTTAAGGGACCCATTTACAGATATAGAGATAACAATTATTTATGCAAACTATGCAATGCTAATATACTTCGATCATCGAAATATATTGCATAGTTTGCATAAATAATCGAAATAATCTCTATATGAGATCACTTTAAAAAAAAAGGTCCATGTACAGATGTATAGGGACTTATGAAACACCCGGTATATTAGCAATACGCCTACTACTTTATAAAATTTTTAAGAGACAGTTCGCAGTTAAAGGGTATAAAAATACGGCAAAGTTTTACTATAACATTCATATAGTGATAAAATGCAAACATTTCTACAATAAAAAAAAAAACATATAATACAGTAATAAAAAAGAGAAATAATAATATCTTGGAATTTATATAATCAATTTTAATGATTTTATTTTCATTAGAATCGTAATACCATGTTCTAAAATTCTAACTAAAGATTCTAAAGATGTTTACTTAGAAAGAAATACCTTTTATTGTAGTGAATCGGCATTCCACTACTATAAAAATTTTATAATAAGTTCCGACTATGATACTTATAATCAGTGTTGTACATTGGACAAAAAAAATCGATCTTTAATAAATGATCATATATTATTGAATATTTTATTGGACTTTAGTTTAATTGTTAATATAACCGTTTTTAATCCAATAATTAATTGGGTATCGGATGTTGTAAACTTTCAATATCCAAGCTCGTTGGACCCATTGGACTGACATCACTCTTATAATGTTATGACTTTAACTGCGAACTACCCCTTAACCGATATTTAGTTTTATCGATCGAATAAAGAATAGCCTTGGTGAATTCTTAGCACCAATAATTATTTTATTTGTCATTTATCTATAAAATTTGTACACACCACCTCTGTGTCACTTAGAATCTTTGGGTATGAAATCTTATAGGTTATATTATGACACGAATCAAACATCAATAATTCATAATTATAATTCCGATTGTTTGTTTCTTTTCCAAATATATCGTTAGCGTTATAAAGCATTAGAAATTTTCATGAAACAAAGATTCTTTGTTGCTAATCTTTGAAAATGTTTGAAAGTATGAAAGCAGTAAAATCTAGGCAGGTCGAAAATGGTCACGTGCACAGATAAGGTTACAAATTAGAGATGGGCAAAGTAATTACTCATTACATAAAAACACTATGCGAGAATTTAGCATGTTATTGGGTGTAAGTATATATTATTAGTGAACTTTCGCATAATGTGATTTAATGATTAATAATATTTAAAATAATATTAATAATCATGCCTATCTATACAGCGCTAGAGATTAGTGAACAGTCGCATAATGTGTTTCAATGATTAATAATATTAAAATAATATTAATAATCATGCCTATCTATACTAGCGCTAGAGATAGTACCTGCATAAAATTTAAGCTCGGTTTATTTATATGGTCATGTGAATTTTTTTGCCATGATATTTTTTTGCTCGAAATTACATAATAAATATCACGGAAAAAACTTCACACGGTCATATATAACACCATTATTGGGCAGCACAAAATTTCGGCGTGTCGTAACCTGCTTATTTTTTCGGTAAACAAAATTTAGAAACTCCTGCAATATATTTTATATTATAAAATTTCCGGCCGCTTTAAAACTACGCCGGAAGTCAACTTAATCAAACGGAACCTCCGGTATTTTACAATAGAATTTTGTGCATTGTTGGGCAGTAGATAAAAAGTAACAGAATTTTTTTTTAGTAGGAGTTATGTCACTCCATGTGCTGCATAGCAGCACATGAGTGAAATTAACTTCGACGAAAAAAACTCTGTTACTTTTTATCTAATACCCAATAATGTATACTTATCCGTAATTTACCGGGTAGCTCGGGTGGTCAATCGGCCCGATTGTTTCCAATATGCATGTACGTAGGAAATTCATACGATTGGATAATTAGTCTGATTAAACTTAATATGGCTTTCATTTAATAAATTTAGAATGAAATGCTTCCTAATATTAATCTTTTCTCGAGTTGACATAATCGTCAATATTCGAAAATAAAAAACCTGTGCCTAGATTGGCCTGCGTTAAACTAATTTTGAGTTTAGTGATCATTTAAGGTTAGATTAAAGTTATTTTAAGGTTAGATTAAGGTTAAGATTAAGTTTAGAAGAGGATGTCACTGATTATTTTGTTTCTACGTGTACAGTATAGATTGCAATCAGAATTTTCGATGCAGGCGAAGGTACTGTATTTGGTGAGTAAAATATCCGGGAGTATTATAAAATATCTAATTATACCTGGATGATATACTAAGGGCAGTTAATAGGTAAATGAAAATTCGTATTTAATCATTCGATTATAATACGCGATTCTTTTACTTCAAGATTGCCAAAAAGAAATAGGAGAATTTTACTTCACAAAATTTGGTGAAACTTGAATTATGAAATAGTGAAATCCGTGGTTTATTATGCTTTTATTATATAAAAGTGGATTTCACCTTTTTTGATGATTATAGAGGATTTCACTATTCGCAACTCAGGTTTCATCCTGTCGTATTTTTACTTTGTAAAATAATTTCTACGAAACGTATACGTCAATCCCTATTTCTACTTATCCATTCATGAATTGTTATGTCTGGATCACTGTCTGGCATCATACTTAA